ATTTCCAACAACCAGGTGCCACGCGCCACACCGTGCACCTGTGGGTGGCCGAGCCCTCCCTCGCGCCACTGAGCAGCAGGACCAGAGCCAACCCGATGCTGATGGGAGACACAAATGTGCCAGCCGCCTGGTCGCCAGGCAGTGCCGCCGCGCCTGCTGAATGAGTTGTGGCCAGTACGCTTGCGCCCAGTCCATTCACATCAACAGCCGACATCGGCCGCGCCGCGCCGACGGGGGCGAGGGGCCCAGGTGGGCGGGGCAGCACAGCGCAGTGTACTCGAGAGCACCTGCCCAGCAGCGACGCGGTGTAGGCCACGTGAAGAGGTATATGTCAGGGCTATGAGCAGTCGATGCTCGACCATGCCTTGATCAGCGCGGCACAGATCTACTCGGTGACAGACTGCTGTTATATGGAAGTGTGATGAACAAGTTCAACAATGCCGTCAGTATCGTATAGTTCAAAAGGCGAGGTGCACGCGAAGTTCTGAGGACGGGTGGGTTTGCAGCCACAACCTTCTCTCTTGAGATGTTGAGAATGTCGGTGCTTCGGTGCTGCACACCTGGCACGATGGTGAGCCGTCGGTGTGTTTCACCGTGTGCATTAATGAATCTTGTCAGCAAGTGCATTGCTGGAGCCACTCTCTGATGGGGCAGCAGGACACCTGCATCATAGAATGCCGCCACGTCATGATCAGTCATCAGACAGTGCCATCACACATGTCGGCCAACAGGTCGAGCTAGCTAGAATAGCAAATGCCACTGTTGACCCCCCCCCCTGTTTTCAAATTTCGGCTCAACACTGAAGCACAGATGAGACTGGCAGCACGCTGGCGCTCAGCGTCTTGCGTGGGGCAGCCCGCATGCAAATCAGGCAAAAAAAATCAAGGCTGATTGTGATCCCCGCTGGGTTGCTTGCAATGATCAACAGAGGACAAGACATGTATTTTGAATAACAAAAGTGACTGCGTCACCAGGGCGGGGGCAAAAATTGAGGATGGTAACTTGTCCTATGGTGCTGTAAGTGCCAAGCCAGGCAGGATACTGCCTGCTACTGGCCCGCTCTTCCCCAAATAATAAGGGCCTACGGCGAAATTGTATCATGAATGTCCTGGAAGTGATGCCTAATGAGTTGTGGAAGTTGCACAATGCAAAGAATGGTGATGATTTGAGGTTCAAACGTAGCAAACACATAGCCCAAGAGCTGCAGGTCACCCGCGTGACCAAGGACCGCAGATGACGGTCACTGGGATCTCAAGTGGGTGCTTATCAAGGGGTGCTCATGGAAGGCTGAGGGTTTTGCGCTTGCGGCGCAAACCCCTGCCCAACCCCCAAGCTTTTTGCAGCTGATGTCATTGATGCTCAAAACGTTGTAGTGTAAAGGGGGGCCGTGTCAACACATGGCAATGTGCAGCCAAAATCAAGGGCTGCGAGGCAGGTGCGCAACGGGTTTGCAGCAACGACTTATGGCAGCATGCTGAGCCCAAGCCCCATGAATGAATTGCAACGGGTGTTTCACAATGAATGCTGTTCTTTGTTTGCTGATGAACCAAGCAAAGACGAGTATGCAATGCGGACCCATGTGCCGCTCAACAGCGTGATGTAGGTTTGGCGCCCTGCGAGCAAACTGACGGACCTGAGCTTCAACTTTGCACCAGCAACAACGCCATGATGGCATCTATGGCACACCGAGTAAGCACGCACAGCCACAAATTCCAGTCTTGTCCCGCGATGCAACAGCAGCGCTCTGCAGGTGCAGCTTGCAGTCCACCGCGTGAATGGCGCCTAATCACAGCCAGCAGCTCAGCCGCCTTCCGCCGGGCGCTTCTTTGCAGACGTCACCAGAAGCACTGCCTGGCCGGCAGGCACGCGAACCTTGTACACCAGCACGCCGCCGCGAGCCGTGGATGGCTCGATGCTGGTGATGTTCAGTGCGCCGAGCGGCAGGCCGTCGCTGGTTCCCGCGTACGTCTGGCCGCGCCACATCACCCTGTAGCTGGATGACAGACCGCCCAGGTTTTTCAGCCTAATGGGAGGTTTGGAAGGTCGTTGCAGCGGGGTTCTTTTAGTGCGACGATGACTCAGTGGCAGGGCAGGCTGATAAGGGAGGGAGGGATTTGGCATGCAAATGCTGAGCCATCCTGACACAATCCTGAGAACCAACTATGGACAGATGCATGTATCAGTGCTGCCTCTGAAAGCCGCGCGGGCTCCGCCGCTTGTACGCGCAGCAGAACGAAGTGTGAGAAGTCCGCCTCTCACCAGTGCAGCTCTGCGTGAGTACCCAGGTCAGATCCTTTGATCCTCAGCTCGACCTTGCAACCCCTCTGCCCGTCCTTGTTGATGATGGCGACCCGCGACGTGCGTCCGCTGAATGCGTTGCTCGCTGGCGCGTCGCCGGCGCGACTGGGGCTGCCGATGAGGGACCAAACCTGATCACGCGTACGATGGGTCGTGGTGAGGGTTTAGCAGCCAATGTGCGCGCCGCAGCTCCCTTCCACGCACAGCTCATGCAACAGGCGTGCCATCCAGGCTGACTGCACGCCAGGCAGCCCAAAGTGCCAACGCCTTTTTTATATCCTTCCAGTGTCCCACCTTGACGTCGTCGCCGCAAGTGCTGCTGGGTTTGCGCTTGTTGGATGTGAAATAGACCCCACTGCCCTTGACGGCCTCCAGGAACAGCAGGTAGCCATACCTGGGGGATGGGGCCGCAGCCGTAGACGAGATTACAGAACAGAAGGGATGGCGCGGGAGATGTGCATACATCCAGAGGCAGGCTTGCTTGAGGCTCGCGGTCGGTTCAAAAGCACGTACAGCAAGCATAGCTGTGAGGCTGCAGCGGGTGACATGTTCACAGAGCACAGCGGTTGGGGGAGAAATGACCTGCTAGATTGTGGAGCAGCCCTCAGGCCGTGCTAACGAATCGTCCTCACCAGGGAGCATGTACTGAGGGGTAGGGCAGGGCGGGATCGCCCATCCGAAAGTTGGTCTGGACCCCAACATAAGCTGGCCCGCCCACCGTGGGCGTCCCGCCATCACCCCAGTGCATGTTGATGCCTGACGCGCCCGCCTTTGCAAATTCAAAGGTGGTGTCAGCCGTCCAGAGGGCAGCACCAAACACCTCGGACAGGCCGCGCTTGCCGCCATTGACTGCACTGTTGGTCTCTGAGATGCGGAGCGCTACGCCTGCCCCGTCTGCAGCGCTCTGCGGGGGCCATTGAGGTGGGGGTCAGGCTGATGTGGCACGCCAGTGCGTAATAAGCCGTGGAGGGGGATGGGAGCGCATGGTGCAGGGTGAGAGTCCCCTCCTCACGTCAGGCAACACACCCGCTTCTTTGATACACACGCTCTCCAAAATCGTACACACGTTCATCTAAGCCTGTACAAACACGCCTCTGCTAGATCCGCTCGGACCTTGAGCTCCTTGAACTTGTCGATGGCTGACCGCAGCTTGCCTTCGTCGAGGATCACGTCCACTGTGGCACTGTTGTTACCTAGGTAGCTGTAGTAATGTACACTGGCCTGAACATCAGAGTTGGTGTGCAAGTGGTCAAGGCGTACGTGGTGAAAGCATGGGAAATTCTTTCTTTGGGGGGACATGGACAGAGGGCATGTGTGCATGCAGGAGTGCACACACGCGTGCATGCGCACGCGTGTGCGCATGTGTGGATGTGAGTGCGTACGGGCACATGCTTGTAAGAGCGTTTGTGTGTGCGCACGCACATGCGTGCGTGCGTGCATGCGTGCGCGCGTGCTTTCGTGCGTGCGTGCGTGCGTGCGTGCGTGCGTGCGTGCGTGCGAGCGTGCGTGCGTGCAAGCGTGCGTGTGTGTGTGTGTGTGTGTGTGTGTGTGTGTGTGTGTGTGTAAAAGTGTGTGTGTAGAAGTGTGTGTGTGGAAGTGTGGAAGTGTGCACGCCAAAGGGTGTCGCTACCCTTTCGGCGGCAGCAAGATTCTGCCCTTGATCAAAGTGGCAGATTGGTCGGAGATGTAAAAGGGGAAGCGCACCTCCTTCAGGTAGCATGAGCCCGCACGGCCAAGCGCCTCGATAGACTTAGGCGTGATTGCCAGGCTGTGCCACGATGGCCCAAAGAACATCGCCCTTGCAGACGCAGACCGCGCCGCAACGGCGGCGGCGCCGCTGCCGCCAGGCGCGTCGTTGACCCCTCTGAGGTCGGTGGAGCCTGCACCATCGCTGGCGCGCCAGTGGTGAGCAGAAGCAGAGCCGTCGGAGGCCAGCAGGCGGCGGCCGGCAGCAGGCGGCCCTGGCGATGGGGCGGGCAGGGTCGGCGGGTTTGCAGCAGCGGTGCAGCGAGCAAGCCCAGGAGCTGTGCTGTCCGAAGCGCGCCCAGAGAACGAACATGTTGAAGCCGCAGCCGTCCGGGCGAGGGACCTCGGAATGTGCACCAATCAAGTCGATGATCACCGCTGCCGATTCCGCCACCGCACCCGTAGTAGGAGACCCTTCAAGCAGGGCCTGCGTGAAGAACGGGCGCGCATTTGCCTTCACAACCGGTCCGCCAGGTCCAGACGGTTTCGAGCGAATCATACTGTGCCCGGCCACTGCTGCAGTGCCTCCAGCCTTGGCGGGGTTCACGACGTCATTGTTGGACTGAGCCGTGGGGTCCAAGGCGCCCTTCGGCTGCATGAAACCGCCCTTGTTTGCGAGCCAAGGCACCGCCGCCGCCTTTGGCGTGGCCGTTGGCGACGCGGGCTTGGAGTCAGGGCCGCACCCGCTGAGCACGTTGGCTGTGCGGTGAAACTGCGCCATGTAGCTGCAGGTAGGTTGCGATAGGAGCAGCCTCAGCTGTGCAGACGGCAGCTGAGAACGGACAAGCACGGCTCAGAAGCAGCTGATCCATTGCCAACAGAAAGCAGCAGCAGCAGCAGCAGCAGCAGCAGCAGCAGCAGCAGCAGGAGCAGCAGCAGCAGCAGCAGCAGCACTGGAAACCACGTCGATTGAGACTCATTGCAGGTGATGCACCTGTCATACCAAAACAGGCGGCTCACTTTGAAAAGCCGCTCCCCCACTCGCCCTTGCTGTTGAAGCCTCCCACACGGCGGTCCCACATATCTGCGTCGCACGGAAGGTGGGGGCCGGCATGCACACGGAGACGGTCAGAAACCAAACCCTGCATGACGAAACAGATTGCAACGCACATCCACCCACGCCCCCGCATCCACCCACGCCCCCACATGCCTCCATGTTCATGGCAAAACTGCTAGCCAGTGCCGTCAACCTGCGCCCCGTGAGCCCGACAAGGCACACAGCAGCCCTACCCTGCCGCGGCTGCCGCCGCCGCGTGCCAAGCTGCACCCACCCGGCTCGTTCCCCAAGCCAAAGCCGACGATGGCTTCCCCCAGGTGCCTCCGCGCCTCGTCCATGATCTGCCTGGCCAACTCGGTGTCGTTCTCCTCGAGGGGCAGCCCGATTATGAACCGCATGTTGACGGACCGCGCCAGGTCCCGCAGGGACTCGAAAACTCGCGCGGGCGGCACGGCCCGCAGCAGCTCCTGGCTGCGACCGCCGACGCGGAGGATGGGGCTCGGGCCGAGCATCCGGAAGATGTTGCTAAACGCGGCGAGTGCTGCGTCAGTGCCGCCGTACCTGCGCGGGTTTGCAAGCAACAGCATTCCTTTTGAAAGGGCGGGAAGGTGCAGGTGCAGGTGCAGGTGCAGGTGCAGGTGCAGGTGCAGGTGCAGGTGCAGGTGCAGGTGCAGGTGCAGGTGCTTGTAGGGGACCTACAGAGTGCTGCAGAAGTGCAGGTTTTGTGAGCGCTGCTTCAACACACACACACACACACACACACACACACACACACACACACACACACACACGGCTGCGACTCACAGGGCTGCGACTCAATCATCCCCAATCCGAGCCGACGTTTCCGTGTGCACGGCATCCCTACACACATTACTGCGGTGGACGGCCTGCCCTGGCCCGCTCACTCAAAAAGTCCGCCCCACTCATGGCTCAGGCCCAGGAAGTTAGGCTTGACCTGGCGCCCTCTGATAGGCAGCGTCAGCACGTCAACCACCATGCTGTCAAAGGGCAGGCGCTCGATCTGGGCTGTCACGTCCTTCGGGAGCCCGGTGCTGTGCGGCGGCTCCTGGCGGGCCTTGAGGTACGCCGCATACCGCTGAGACGCCGCAAGGGACGCCGCTGCTACCGCAGCCTGAGCAGCCGCAAACTGGGGGGTCGCCGCTGACCCGCCGGGCCCGCTGGCCGCCAGGGCCGGCGCGGGCATCGGAGGGGCGAACTGCTGGGCGGCGGCAGCGAGCGTTGCGGAGGCCTTGCCCCTGCGCTTGGGCGGTGCCGCAGAAGCTGCTGCAGGAACAGCATCGCCAAGCAGCGTCCGGCTCACCGCTGCTGCCTCGTGCATCCGAACGACGCCTACCCCTCCGCCAGCGTCAGCGTTCGCAGCCGCGACGCAGCGTCCGTGGCTGCTGCACGTCCCACAGCTGCTGCTGCTGCTGCTGCTGCTGCTACTGCTGCTGCTGCGACTGCTGCTGCTGCTACTGCTGCCGAGGCAGCCGTCGCTGCTACTTGTGCTGCTGCTTCCCCCGCAGTTGTTGGCGGTGGATGGAACGGCGCATGGGGCCCCAGGTGGTAGAGGAGCGCACCCCGAGCGGCCCGCCAGCCAGGCTGCACCCGCTGCGTCTCGCGCAACGCATTCTCTGTGGTTGATTCCAGAGCAGAAGTCTGCGCAAGGGACCCAGAAGCATGAACGGTGGCGTCAACGGCGCTTGCGCTCATCACAGACGGCACGCGCAGGTGACACGATGTTCCCGGCCATGTTCCCGTGCACACCGACCAGTGGCATGTTATCGCCATGCCTCATCAATCATGTTTGATCAAGAGCTGCGTGCTCACATGATGCTGGGAAAGCGTTCGCCCATCGCGTTGCGAGCTTTGCCCTATCGCGGGGGCAGCTGCTGACATAGCTGCCGCATAGTACTTTTTCAGTTCGCGTTGGTAGGCCGGCACACCACTGAGCGAGCGCGTACGGCGACCCGGTAGTGCTGAGAGCCGTCACCGCCGGGGCCACCAGCAGCAACAGCGTGATCGGACGCATAATCACGTTTAATGATGTGGCAATCGACTAGGCGGCAGTCAGCTTCAACCGCATCGACAGCGCTGTCATGAGTCAGGTGACACCGGGTGATTGCAGACGAGTGATTCCATTTGAAACCTTGAAACCGATGAGCTTGTCTCCGAATGGCCTTCAGCCTGTCCGGCAGCCGCACAAGTTCCGTACGACGCAATAAAACACAGTTCTTCACCTTATGCCGCCTAATGTTCAAGAAGGGGGACGAGATAGCACCGATTGCAGCACGGCTCACTGATGCATCCGCTTGCATTGAATTATGCATAGCAGCAGTGCGAAAGGACCAGGCAGCAAAGCCAGCTGAAGGGTCCAGAATAACACCGGGGAGGAGCTTAAGGCTATTCCTGCTGGGGGTAGTGAGGCAGTGTTCCCCATGGCTGGGGCATCCCGGTAGTCAACTGCGGTGACAAGAATTCAACTGCGTACAGAGTCCCTCCATAGAGAAGCTCAACCTGCTCCTTGCCCTACTTGGATCCAAGTGACAAATACCGCGTTACAAGTGCGTGCCGTGTGTTTTCTCTGTGTTTGCAAACGACCATGAGTCGGAACAAGCGGGCTGGCCCTGGGGCCACCCCTTTGAACTCACAAACAAGACAAGGTGGGAAATGTTCAAGTGCCTAAACCCTATGCGTGTATGTAAGAGTACACCACAGCCATGCTCGGTTAGTAAAACGTCCTGCACCACCTACATTGCCTGCTGTCTTACACTATTAACAGCTTTGTGCGCTGCGCGCCCGAAGCTGGGTGGAGTGGGCTGTGAACCTGTGAGGTCGCCGGTCAGCGTGCGCATCAGCAAAAGCGCCTGTGCCAGCGCCTCTGTCACTGGAACCGGAAGGTGAAGCCAGCCATCGCGAAGGGGTGGCACTTGTTCCCCCCAAAGCTAAAGGCACTCTGTTGCAACAAGTGCACAGCCCCCGCCGCAGCACAGCTGGCTCAGAGATGACAGATCGGCCTTGCAAGAAAGAAAGCGACGCGCTGCACGGTTCCCTGCTTCACGTGATGTTATGCCAAGAGATATCATGGCACCGAACCAAGGTTGGGTTGTCATAGGCTTGGGTTCCTGTAGCAGATCTCATAGTGACCTGCGGCCGCGGGAAGTCAGGGAGCCAGTGCGCGGGCTGAGGATGGACGCGACAACCGAGTATGAGCGCGGTGAGGCCCAGGCATGCGGGTCCCCGCGCGAATCTGTCGCGCCGCCGCTACTGCCTGCCACGCAAGGACACACGCGCCGCCCTCGAGCCCTGCGTCCCACACCCCCGGCCCCATGGCTGCCACAGAGAGTGGTCGCCGGCCCCCCAGCCGCCCGGCCCCCCAGGCCCACCTGGCAGGTGCACGAGGAAGAAGAGCGGCTCCACCTCGCCGGCCGGGTGCCGCACCACGCCCGTCTCGCTGCCGGCGACATCAATCACCCCCACCGTCACGCCCAGCGCCGCCGCCAGCGCCGCCATCTGCAGCTGCTCCACCTCCTGCCCCATCCGCTCCACGTGGCGCTCGCAGATTTCAGCAAGCCCCAGCCCCGCGTACGCGTCCCCGCAGCCGGCGACAAACGGCGTGTACGCGGCCTCGTTGCGCCGCAGCTCCAGGCTGGCGGCGAGGCGCGCGAACTGGACGATTGGGTCGAACGCCGCGCGGCGGGACAGCGCCGCCTCGAGCTCTGGCTTGAAGAGGGGGCTCGCCTGCTGGGGCGGCTGCGCGGGCTGGTGGTCGTGGCGGCCCTGTTGGGGCGCCTGGTGGGCGCCAGACGCGCCGGGGGCGTACCAGACGCGCGAGAGCAGGGAGAGCAGCAGCTCCGCGCCCTGGTCAGCGCCGCGGCCGGCGTCGCGGGCGGCGGACAGGGGGTGGGAGACGAGGGCCCGGCGCAAGCTGCGCACGCGCGAGACCAGCCTGGGGTGGGGCGGAATCGTTGCAACACACGGGCGGAGGGCGGGTGGAGGGCCTCAGTCTGACCAGGGTCCAGCCTGACGAGGGCTGGTAGGGCAGTGGGTGAAGCCTTAAACCCTGTCACGGTTTCCCCCGTGATGTCATGGTTTCCCGAGTTTCATAGCTGAAGCCAAGGACCCAGAAAAGGGGGATGAAAACAAGATCGACCCCTCCCCAAGGGAAGTGAAGTTGTGAGATGGTCCACGGAACACCCACCTGGCATGCAGCTCCAAGAGCGGCGCCTCCAGCAGGGCCTCCAGCAGGGCAAAGAGGAAGCCGCGGTAGAAGCAGTTGCCGTCGCCGGTGACGGGGCGGCAGGCGGGGAAGCTCGGCGCCAGCGCGGCGAGGCGGCCAGCGAGTGCGGGGCTGCCGGCGCGGTAGCGGTCCACGAGGCTCTGCAGCGGCTGGCGGGGCCCAACCAGGTCCGACTGCGGTGTAGAGAGTGGTAGGGGAGGAGGGGGCGCGAGGAAGGTCAGGCAGCGAGGTGGTCAGGGGTGAGACAGCGGTGCGGAGTGACGAGGTTTGGCGGAGTCGGCTGGGGTGTTGCAGAGTGACGTCAGTCCCTCGACCGTCCCCTCGCAGCGCCGCAACCCCGCGGCCCGCGCCCGCCCCACCTCGATGCGCCCGGCCTGGTCCCGGTCGTCGGCCCCATAGTCAGCCTCCATCGCCGCATCGCCCCCTAACATCCACGCCGCCTCCTCAGCTGTCGGGAAAACCTCATCGTCCCCACCAGCGCCAAAGCCAAAGGCAGCGGCATCCGCATCGGCGCCGTCGCCAGCCAGCAGGAGCGCCGCGATGCCCGTCGCGTCGGCGGCGGCGGCGCCGCCGCCGCCCCATCCCCCGCGGCCGCGCGGCGACTGGCCTGCCGGCGCGCCCTGCGTCGCCAGGCGGTGGCGGCCGCGCGAGGCGCCGCCGCCGCTGGCGCTGCCGCCTCCGAAGCTCGGCCTGGGGCGGTCTTGTT